AAAAAATGAGAAATAAAATACTACCGAACAATCGTGACCGTGCGATGAACTTTAGACAGTGATGAGCATAGGTGAAATCACTGTTCATTTTTGCCCATAAGCATTGGGAAGATTTTTCCATATATATATATATATATATATAGAGAGAGAGAGAGAGAGAGAGCTTATAATACAATACTAAAAGATAAATAAGTCAAAGATAAATGTCCTATTCACAAGTCTTCCCTGCATGCCATATCATTGATAGATCTGCCAAAATGAGGGATATTTTTAGTAGAGGGCCCATACTAGTAAGTCTCTTAAACAAGGTTTTAAGACTCTGATTAGGCTCTCAGGACTAAACCAAGCCTCGTGGCAAGTCAACTTGGAAATCAAACTCAACAAGTCATAACTAGCATTGTAAAGTATTATACAAAATCACAAAAAAAGCAATAAATTAGAAAATAAAAAATTATTTAAAAATACAAATTTAAAATAATCTAGAGACCAACAAAATGCTTTTTGTTAAAGTTAAAATCAGCACAAAACCAACAAAGTGCTTTTTGTGATTTTTAGTGGATGAGAAGCCCCAAAAAAGGAAAAAGAAACACAAATTCACCCAATCTTGGAAAACGCAGCAAGTCCGTAAGAAGACTCCTATGCATTTTCCAGGCTCACATTAGTTTCCCAATTTATTTATTTTTGTCCGTATTCTTGTTTGCATTGATAGGAGTTAGAAATGACATCAAGTTGGGTTAATCCCTAGCACAAGGTCAAGGTTCCTAAAAGCATACGCAAGAATCTCCTCTAGTAACTCCAGTCCTCAGGTAAAGGGCATAGTTTTAACTACTACATTTCTGAAGGAAAGCCATGCTAGTTAACAGTGACATATACATTACCATTAGGTAAGTCTGAAGAGTTTTCTCATCAATTCTTACCATTGTCAATATATTATGAGTCATACAATATTCTCAAATTGACATGTCAATAATCAACTTATCAGTGGAGGATACCAAAAATTACAGAGATAATTAGCATATGCTGCATGATGGAGATTGTTTAACCAAGTCCCCATAATAGCCCACAGAGATGACGGTAATTTGTCCACCGAGGGGGAGGTAAAGCAATCAATTTTGTTTTGGATACTTCCCACTTGCTTGGTACTCCTACTTCCACATTCATGTTCTTTAGCAACTTGATGCACATATCCTATTTCGCTAGTAAGTGTATGGTTAAGTGGTTAACTATAGATTATTATTAAACCACATTTAAGGGGTGGTCATGTGTCCAGGAATAAAAGGGGACCTTATCCATAGAGATAGCATTGGATGGCTAAAAATAGTGTTTAGAGCAGCGTGGGGTAATTTGATTCCATCTTTCTTAGTATAGAAGATAAATGGATAAAGAAAATCCTTGAGATAAAGAGAGATTTTAGGAGAGATGAGAGATACTTATGGAAACTTTTGAATAGGAAATATAAAGGAATGACAAAAAAAATACCATTCACAATTTCAAAACTCAAATGAAACCTAATATTAACATATATTTATAAAGTATAGTATTAATTATTGTCATAGAGGCAGACGTGGGTCAGAAGTATGTTTTTATAAATTGACAGATATTTTAGGAGACCAAAGATTTTAGAGGGATTCTACAATGGTAAATTGAAAGTAGGTTTAAATAACTTAATATTCACATAAATTGTGTGTAGCTTATCTAGAAGATACTCATAGAGGATCCTAGAAGTATTGAGTTGTCTTTATAGGAAGATTTGAGATCATGTGATAAAGAAGCAAGAGAAAAGAGTGGGGGCGGTGGGGGTGGTTGATATATATATATATAT